TGATTTCTAAGATATAATCTATCTTTCTTACCTCTTCTGCCTGTTCTGTTGTCATTATTCCTCTTTACTCCACTCCTTTCAGTCAGTTTGGCCACTCAGGGTTCCCTAAATATACTTTACTTCAGCACATGCATGTGATACTCTTCTACAAATTATTTACAGTTCATTTGCAGACATTGATAGTCTGGTTATAAATAACTATGACATCAAAATATAATTTCATAACAAATTCTTAAGAAACTACCATAAAGCTTGTACTCAGTAAATTCAGTGGTGAGAGAGGCAGAAATGCCAAAATTAATGCAATGTATCATTGACCATCACAGAGCAGACATTGCTACAGGGAAGACAGAGACATGTCTGTAACAGAAGCCTGTTTATATGGTGCGGGCACAGAACAAGTGCTTTGTGCATTCAAGGAAAGGAGAGATAACTAGAGCTTTCTAAGAAGGCATAATCCAGAAATTGAATGTGATTAGACTTTGAAGGCTGAGAAGGACTCCAGCAATCTCAGGGAGGTAGTGTGGGCTGACTGCTTCCTGTCTTCCCTGTTTCAGAATCAATTTTGGAGAGATAAATTTTATAAAACAATGCTTTGATCATGCATTTGCTGGATCAGAAACATTGAATGGTACAGTGTAATACCCTACTTTTCTGTAATTGGCTCCAACATTTAGCTATTGTACCAGGAGGCTTTTATGGTCATTTACAAACCTGAGTTATATAATTCTGCCTAAATAATTTTACCTATCACAACTTCTCTATATGCCTCATTGCTTTGCCTTCTGGCTTTGTTAATATCTGGTCTCTTAGAATATAGTTGGTTGTCTTCTTGCATTAAAATTCATCTTCTAAGAATTCTATAAAAAAATCTCAGATCACATCAGCCTGGAATGATCTTTCTTATCTCTGAACATTCAGAGCAACTGCTATGTATAGGAATTGATAAATGGTCTCATGCCTCATTGGCACACTCTTTTGTTATTTGTATATTTTATTGTGTATGCACACAGGTAAGAATAGAAGGGAATATACCAAAGCAGTCTTGGGCAGAGTTAACATTGTGGCTTGTTTTTTTTTAATGTCTTCTGAAATATTTTCTTATTTTTAGAAAAATTTGAACTTCTTGTTATATACGTTTAGAATCATGATGTCTCAAGCATAAAACTAATTTGGTTTAGTGTTCTGGCAGAGCCTTGTACAGTGACTTGTGTATCACTGTACAATTACATAGTACACTTAAACTTTATTAATTGTATAGTGGTAAAATTAATAACAAATATACACACATAATAAGAAGATACAGGATAGTGGTAATTATATTTATCCCCACATAATATCCCATATTTGAAACAGAAGCACCTTTCTCCCTATTGTGTACTCATGTTTCTTTTAATAGAGCATATTCTTTATTTGTCATTTATGCTTTATGTTTATTTCTTTTCATCTGTACCAGTTACATTGTAAGCTTCTCCTTAAACACACTTATCTGCATTTCTGTCTTCTTCTAAGTTTGCACACAAAAATTTTTGACTACAGGTATGTTTTATAATATTTCTGAGATAACTGTTTAAATACCTCTATTCAAGAATAGATTCAAGGGCTCAAATGAACTTACAAGTCTACATGTTTTCTCATGAACACTTTCTGAAATAAGTACTTTGAAATACTTTTAGTTCAATTACTATAGCATACTGAAGAATTGTGATAAAGGGTATTTCCTAACTAAACAGTTTATTTTTTTATTATTGATGAAGCAACTTCAAGTACCTAAGTACATAATTAACAGCAATATGTTTGAAATTTTGGTGCCAGTTGCTGCAAAAAGGTCATTCTTTAGGTGCAAAGTAGTGGTCTTTTGGTATTTATTTTAACTATAATTTTGAGATTGGCTCATGTAGACTATTCCAAGTGGTAGATCCAAAATATATATTATTCCATAGGGAAACTCTTAGTGGAAATTCTCTTTATCTAGTGTCCTTAAGGTTCGGAGAGGGAGTCTCAGATGTAAAGTGAATTTAAAAGGGTTGGAAATGTAGCTAAGTGGAAGAGTGATTATCTAAGGTCCTGTATTTGATCCCAGCACTCCTCCCCACTCCAACAAAAAAGAACCTAAGAAATAGTCTAGTCCCCCAATCTGCTTCTCCTCCCCCTCCCAATCCACACTTTGTAGCTGAGATCCTGATTGCCTATGGTTAGGTACCTTTGCTTTATATCCAGCTTCTTTTCCCTTACATGATTTTATGGGAGCCTATACATAATTTTAGGGTCTCCAGTGATTTATCAAAAAAAAAAAAAAAGACACCTTTGGGTCAACTAAAGTCTTGACGTTTTCGCCACTAATCAGAGCTTTATTAAAAACATTTTTCCATAAAGAACTCCTAAGTTACAATCATAGTGCTAGGAAGAGATGGCCATAACCCATGAAGAAGGCACAATCACATTATAGTAGTAGTTTCATTTATTCCTAGAAGAGAGGAAAGCCTAGAGGGCTCTGGGAAGGTGACATTGGAGACAGAAAGTAGGGAAGCTACCCTAAGCACTTGGAGAGTGGGATTTGAGGCACTCTCGGAGGTGGGGGTCGTGGACAGCCAGAAGGCAGTGTGGACTCATTGGATCCTGGCCACAGACAGATAGAGCACCACCTCTTTCTTAGCTCACTGACAAAAACCTGTAAACTGTAGTTTTAGATTATTCAAAGGAATGGTTGAAGAGAGATAACCTCCTAGTGATGAAGAGAATTAAGCATTCAACTAAAAACTAGAAAACTAACAACAAAAGATAAGGAAGAAATTAGTAAATTAGAAGTTGAAAAACAAAAATTCACACAAAATATCTCTAGCAACCAAATACAGTGTAATCGTTTCAGACTACCCCAGCCCTGCCCAACCTCACCTGAATGTAGTGTGTGGTTTCTCATGAGTCTGAGTAAAGGCAAGCAGCTTAAATACATCAGGGAAGACTATAAAAGGCTGCTGTTTTGAATAACTGTTCTAAGTGGGGTTTTGTTGATTTATAACTTGTTACTGAAGCATAGCATCCTTTCACCTTAAACAGTTACTGATGGCTTTAATCTTGCTCTTCTCTATTTTAGATGAGTTCATTGTTCTACAAAACAGTTACTATGAACCATAAACAAGCCGATAGAGGGTGGAATATTGCTACTTTTCCCAGAATAACCAAAATGAATTGTGTTTTTTTATGGTATTTATAAAGATTATTTTAAAAGCCTTATCTTTTTGAGGGATAGACTAACATAACGCTTACATGTGTAGGCTTTGGGATTAAATTGTCAGACTGATACCTGTCTTTTAACCCTCTGTGCTCACTGCAAATTGGGGAATATAATGGTATCAACCTCATTGGGCTTTTCATTCAATGGATGTTTGTTGAAGACAACTGTATACCAGGTCCTTTGTAGGCTCTAGGGAAATAGTGTGCAAAACACACAAATCTCTTGTATTCTTTTATTTTTATTTTATTGTTATGCTAGGTGGGGGTACATTGTGGCATTTACAAAAGTTCTTACAATATATAAAATATATTGTACTTATTCTGATGGAGGGAGATAGACAAATGCAAACAGGCATAAGAAATACATAAAGTGGACAATATGTTTGATAGTGAAAACTTCCATAAAGAAAATCAGAGCAGGGTAAAGTGGATGGGAACCCTGTAGGAAAGGATGGATGCCATTTTAAGTAAAAGTAGCCAAGGTAGCCTTCTCTGTAAAGATAAATTTAGGCAAAGACTTGAAGGGATGTTGGGAACCATGAAGATGTATAGGGGATGCATCTTCCGGCAGCAAGCTGGCATGAAAGTGGGAGTGTGCTGCATAGGCTCTAAAAAAGAGCCAAGGCTAGAGTGACGGATCTGTCAACGAGGTGGAGGGTAAGAGGAGAGGTGTCAAAGAGGCAAAGGCGTGGGTTAGTGAGTTGAGTCAGGCCTGAGGACCATTGTGAGGATTGTGGCTTTTGCCTTTGAGTGGAACAGCATAGGTGGCAGCAGAGGAGTCACATGATTCTTTTTAAAAAATATCACTCTGACTTGTGTATTGAGAACAGACTTTATAGGGACAAGTGTGGGAGGTAAGACCAGAGAGTTATTGCAGTAATTCAGGTGAAAGATGACAATGGCTTGGTCTAAGGTAGCAATAATGAGATAATAATGATAGAGATTGTCAAATTTTAAATACATTGTAAAAAGGCAGCATTAACTTCACTTGCTGATGGTATGGGAGAGAAACAGCAATCAAGGACTAAACTCTTAGAAATATGGTGTGAATTAAGAGGGGTGGAACTGGTAATAGGGAGGATAACGGGAGTTCAGTTTTGACATATCAGGTCTGAGATGCCCATTAGACAACCAAGTGGAGGTATTGAATTGTCAAAAAACATGTATGAGTCCAGAGTTAGGACAATAGTTCCATGCTGGAGTGACACTAGAGAAATAGTCAGAATATAGTGGAATTGAAAGCAATGGGATTAGATAATATCACAAAGAGTTAGGGATATGGAGTTCTACTTCTTGGTACCATCACTTACTAGCTGAGTGTCTAGGGAAGTCACTTAGCTTCTTTGCAACTCAATCTCCCTATTTGCAAACCCAGAAGAATAACAGTAACTCTCTTTCAGGGCTGTGAGAATTAAAATCAATCGTATCTCTAAAGCACTTAGAACATGGATATCGTCAATAAGCATTTTTCATTATAGGTATTCTGCACACCTGTGGTACATCACATGGTCATCAGCTCACATCATTATTAATGCAACAATGCAGCTCTTTTCCATGTGGAATTATTATATTCTTTCTTTATAGTTGTTAATTGTTACTAGAGGTCTAAGTGGGTTGGATTTGCTTTCATAATTAAACTGACCTGGGTTCTGATTTTAGCTTTACCCCAGTTGATTTTTTTTCTGAAAGACTGTATGTGTTTTAGTGTCTGTTAATTGTTCAGAAAAATGAGTTTTTTCAGTGCTGCTTTCCTTTGCTTTTCTCAGTGCTCAACAGAGGAGCAGTCAGGTTCACAAGAAAACCACAATTGGAAATCAGGTAGGAATTGTGTAAGAGAATCAGTGCATGCATGCCTCGAAGAATTTGAACTAAATTGCTTGATTGACTGTTTTTTTAAATGCAAATTAATCATATGCAAATTTTGCTTGAGATGCAGCTGTTCATTTTGTTTTATTTTTGCTTTTCATGTTTTTGGAGTGACTTGCATTTCTTTTTGGCAATTTTCGCAATTAACCTTATTGATTTATTTTAAATACCTTTGCTACTTGCTCTGCATTTCGAACTTGACTCCTTGTGTGCTCTTTTGCTTGCTTACATTGCTACTAAACTTAGTTTAACATTGAATGTGTGAGTCAGTTCAAGGTTAAAATACTGTGAGTAGTTGCATGAGCTTTCTGGTGCTGCTGACTAGTTCACACGTTTGCACAGCTTGGTAACAGTGAAGGGACAGCTCATAAAGAAGGCAGTTGTTGGATTTAATCTCTGCCACAGTCAATTCTCATTGGTTAACGAAGATGTTAATCCTAAAATCTGATCTTTTGAGTTTTTGTGTTTTCGGGCTGACCAGCTGTCTCTGACTAATAGCGCTCTGCAGAGATTGTATTAACTCCGACAGTTTGCTGTTTCTTTTCTGTTTTATGTGATAATGAATATTTGCATTGTTATTTCTTTTCTAGTCAAAACAATGATGATTTTTTAGGGTTTTTTTTTTAATCCAGAGGTACAATTATTGAACAAATTGAGACCTCTGCTCTAGATTTTTTTCCATTGTTTTGAAAGGAAAAGAGATAATAATAGACTTTATTTAAAAAACTTTTTTTTTCTGAACTAAAGCATATAATTCTTTGCTATTTCAGGGAACCAATCTTCCGCCTTCAAGGCAAATTGTACGAGCTAAGTTCTGTAAGCTTTACTGTTGCTTTTTCATTCAGCTTCCCAAGGCACAGTTTGTCTTTTAACTGATTAACTCAACTAGCACTTGCTACTAATTTTTTTTTAAACTTAGGTTGTCTTTTCGTAACACCTTATCACTGAAATAAAAATCCTCTTTAGAGGGTTCATCCCTTCACTGCTAATAACTTGCTGTGATTGAAAGGTATGAACTAGTAAACCCTCAAATGCTGTAACAACAAACCCTTAACACTGTGGGTGCTTTGCTCTTTCTCTAATTTTAATGGGCCTTAAAATAATTAAAATCATTAATAATCCCCATCTCTATCCTTTTATGCTTTATTGGTCTGGGGTATAAGCCTTTTTCTTCCCCCATATGTTGTTTTCAATAAATGTAGATGATGCTTCTAAAAGGTGGGTGAATTCTGAATACCTGATTGTGCTGCAATTGCTGATAACTCTCCTCAGTTCTAATTATTTGTATTATTTTTAAAAGTAATGAAAAGCAAAATTATATCAATTGATATTTTACATGGCTATAGAATTGAATCTTTCAAAATCAGTACCTAATTTTATAGCAGTATGAAAACACGATCAAATGACTAGCATAGGTATTTAGAAAAAATTATGCTGTTGTTTCTACCATGGATGAAATAGGTTTATCCTTCCAACTATGGACTCAGATTCAGATTGGCACACAGATCATTTATTTGCCCCATGATGCTTTGGAAGACACAAGCTTTGGACCTAGATGTTCTAGGGTTTAATTCCCATTCTGCCATTTAAAAGCCATGTGGCTTTGAACAAATTAATCCTGGATTTACTCAGATGTGTGATAGGAAGAAGAGAAAACATCTCTGCAGGGTGGTTGTGAGAATCAGAAATAATATACATAATGAAGTTTATAACCAATTATAAGATATGTGCTCTGTAAAGAGTAGAAACCTTGTTCCCAGAAGGTAGGTGTTGCTTCTTGAAACTTTTGGGAGAAAAATATTAAGTACAAACAAATTTAAAAGTTATGAAATAAGAATAATGAAATACTTGGAAATATCAGAAGTTATGGGAAATTACTGTTATATCTGCAATGCCTGGATTATGGCTGAGTATGGTATAAAGGATTTATCTATGCAAGTTTCCTCATGGATAGAAGCATCTATGGGTCACAGAAGTATACACATAGGAAAAGCAATGGTGTGAGAGCAAAACAGTAGTGTAATGGTATAAGTGTGTACTTTAGATCTGGAAGGAAACTTGGAGCAGCTTTCAATTATATAACTTCCACATGCTTATATCATGATAGTTGTGTTTTCATGACTTCATTTTTGCTGAATACATAAAAATCCCACACATTATGGAAGTTTTATTATTCAAGATAACAGAATCGGATGAGTGTTATAGAATAATATCCAAAATTTTGGGGGCCACTCATGCCTTGAGTGTCAGAATTATTTGGACTTTAGAAAACCAATACACTTACTATGTCATACATTACCCAGAATTCCTATGGGAATATAGGCAATACCCTGTAATCAAATACATCCTATTTCTGCAGTGAAGTAAATGAATAGTTACATCAAGTTACTAAATGAAATATATAAATCCTCTTATATCAGGTCAGGTTTTGCAGTCAAATTTCAAATTTAAAGCTTTTCATTTGTAACTAAAGAATTATGAATTTGAATATATTGTTTTCCAGAATCAAACTCAATAATTTGCAACACAATATAATATATTGTAGGGGCTCTATTATGGTTTTTTACTTAGCAGAAATGTGCCATAATGATTTGGAGTTGCTTTCTTTTATGAATCTGAGTATCTAATGTTGATTTGATTTACATGAATACAGTTTTGCCTATAAGAGGTTCAAATCTAGGGGATGCTGGAGCCCAGCCTTTCAACCACTCCTGGCTTTTATGGTTGGCAAAGCTGAAAGATCCTGCAATATCCTAGCAATTGATGCTGCCATTCTGCAGTCTCTTAGTGCTCTTAACTGTAAGAGATTGCTGTGTAGCATCTGTTCTGAAATGTTTTAGAGGGATTTAAAGATGCAAAACTCCTCTTTAAAGTCAACAGTCCGTTTATTTTTGCCTGCCTAGAAATTTTAATAGTTCCACAAATTGATGTCAGCAAATGCACAAAAATTTATGAGCACACAATTCACCTAAAGTTGGGCTATTCAAAATTTAAATTTAAGCTTCCTTTATTTCTCTTCTAATCAAACATGCATTCAAAAATCTCAGTGTGCCAAAAACTGTGGTGGGTGTTCAGCATATTATGATGAGCCAGTCACTGGCTCTGCCTTTTGGGAGACTGGTGGATGTGCTGGTAAGTAAGCAAATTTAAGTCCTGCTTCCTTTACCAAGGCTAGTTCCATCCATCTTTCGGGTCTCACTGAAACATCGCTTCAAGAGGCTGGTCCTAATTGTCAGATCTAATTATACTCTCTCCCTAGTGTCTTGCATCATCACCTTTTATTATTTGAAGAAATATTTTTTATTTACTATTTTTATCTTCCTTTTTGAGAATCTAAGGTCCTTTTCCTTTCTTCTCACCACATGTCGTCCTATTCACAATACAGACCAGGCACAGGGCCTGGGTTGAAATGTATATGAGGTATGTTTACTTTTCCTCCTCCTTATCTATACAGTCAGTGTAAGAACACAGCCTGTGGTAAGCACTAGGAGGCCTCAAAGTTCCTAAAATGGTACTATTTTTGTGTTGCTGAAAGTAACACATAAAGAGTATCATAAGATTTTAAGCATAATAACATCAACCTTTTAAAAGGATCATTTTGCCTATAGAGTGGAGAAAGGCTTTGAATAGGAGATGGAAAAAGGCAACTAGTTGGTAGCCTGTTATGAATAAGAAATTATGATGACCTGGGCCTGCATGTTTCTATGAGTTTGAGGAGAAGCTGATGAAATCAAGAGATACTCAGCAGGTGAAAGCTAAAGGATCTGTGCTGAGCTGGATGTTGGAAAGGGCGCTCGGCTCTGTGTGCAGTGCCATTCATATTTCTGATTTAGGCACAGGTAAGATGATGGTGCTCTTTATGGAGAAAGGAACATAGTGAGAAGGTCAAGTTTGTATCCAAAGTCAGGCAGAGTAGCTTTGTTGAGTGTGAGTCACTGAGGTAGATTAGAGCAAAAATATCCAATGGGAAGTTGTACAAAAGTATCTGTAGTTCATAAGAGAACAGAGAACTATTTCTTCAAGGGTATTGGAGAGCCACTGATGTATTTCAAATAGGGAAGTGATATCAACTGATTTTTATGTTAAAAAGGTCTGTGTGTCTGCGTATGAAATGGTTTGGAGGAGTACAACTATATACGTGGGAATTTGAGGATTTTTTGCAGTAACTCAGGTAATAAAAACACAAGTGATGGTAGCAGAAGTATGTAGGAAAAGGCAAAAATTCATAATATATTTAAGACAGAATTGGAAGGGCTGAAAGGAGTTGTTGGAAGGTTAAGTTATTATACCAGGCTTACTGGCTAAAGGGATCCACTTACAAAGTAAATTCAGGAGAAGGACGAGCATTGTTGGGGGTAGTGTGAAAAAGAAAATGCCGATTTGTCTGTACTTATTAGAAACATCAGTAGGGTTTGAGGTTCAGGTCTCATGTAGACTGGGATGCAAGTTTTACAGTTGTCAATATATAGAGTGATTGCCAAAGCCAGGGGATAGATGGGATTGTCTCCAAAAGATGAGAACAGAAAAAGAACTATGGTATTTAAAAGAGAATAGAAAAAGAACTGTAACAAAAGGAGGAACTGTAAAAGAGAGCAAGAAGTGATGAGAGAGGTAGAACACCTGGAAAGGAGCAGAATGGAAGCTGGGGACAGAATATTTCAAGCAGGGAATTATCTCCAGTAGTTGATGTTTCCCAAAGTTCATGAAACTTGGGGATGTTAGCAGAGTGGCTCATATGATAGAACGCCTGCCTAGCAAGCATGAGGCCCTGAATTCATTCCAGTACCACCAAAAAAAAAAAAAAAAAAGAAATATGAGAGTTGTCAGATAGTTGGACTGGTGATAGTCCTGGGGACCATCTGAATGATAGCAATGGTTCTCCTGGCCTTGAGGATTGCTTTTCTCTTCTATAAGTGGAAGGTGTTTTAAAGTTGAGAACACAGACATTGAATTGGCCAGAGCATGGTTTTTCTACAGAGGCAACATAGAAGGTCAAGAGAGATGAGTTAGAGTTTTGCAGAGAGAGAAGCTGTGGGAAAGGACTATGTAATCTAACATAAATGGTTTTGATTAATGTATAAATCAAGTAGGTCCACCAAGTAACCAACAACACCAGAATTTCATAATAACCCCAACTTAGCATAATAAAAGATTAATTTAGCCTTCTGTGGCAATCCAAAAAAAGTCATCAAGACAGGGCATCCTGCTTCACATGGTGTATCAATCAGATTTTTGCTACTCTGAAAAATATGTGATGAAAACAACTTAAGAGAGGAAGGATTTAATTTGACTCATGGATTCAGAGGTTTCAGTCCATAGTTGATTGGCTCCATTGCTTTTAGATTGTGGTGTGAGGCAGAACATCACAGTGGAGAAGTCAAAATAGAACAGATGCCAGGCAGAAGAACTGCCCTTCAAAGGCACAAGCCCAGTGACCTACTTCCTCCAGCTAGACTTCTGCTCCTGGTTTCTACTACCTCCCAATAATGCTATCAAACTATGAATCCATCAATTTAGTCTCTTCTTGATTGCCATCATTTGGCAACCAAGCCTTTAACATATGAGCATTTGTGGGACATGTTACATTCAAGCCATAATACATGGTCAGTAATGGATTAGATTTTGGAAACCTTTCCTTTCTTCTATCAGATAGAAAAGAGACAGAAACCTGAGTGAGGGAAGTTTTAAGGACTAGACCATAAATGACAAATCATTTCCATTTACCTTCCATTGGCCAGAACTCAGTCAAATGGGTTCACCTAATTGTAAGGAAACGTAATTTGAGCTTGTGCTTAGGAAG